GGTTCACGTCTTAGCTAGGCTAGCTATAATACTTATCTAGGTTCTCTATTAAGTAGTATTATAAAGTGCTTCTTATATTACAACTATAACCGTATTATAAAGCTATGCTTTTATAATTAAGGTGTTATTAGTAATAGCCGCGGCTTTAACGCGGTATCGTGCCGCTTCTTAGGCGGTATACTTCTTAAATAGTTTCTACACACGCTCTAGTAAAGCTACTAGAACGAGACTAGCTAGTTTATTATAAACGGCGCGTTTTTTATTATTAAGTCTATCTTAAATTACGTCTAGCTTAGGGTTAATGTCTTATATACAATTAAAAGAAATTTCTTTTAATTCTAAAAAATTAATTAAAAATATACCTTAATATTACCTTATAATATTTAATAATATAGCTTATCTTATAATAATTATAATATTAACGTAAATTAAGAGTTTTATTATAGGGTTTAATATTAAATATCTTAGTTTTATATATAAGTCTAGTTTAATATAGCTTATTCGCTTACTTTATCTCTTTAACTCTTAAAATTAAAATCGTTTATATTATAGCGTTACTTTAAGGGTAATATATTATAGCGCGTATAATTTTCACGTTATTTTTCTTATTAAGGTTAGCTATAAGGTCTTCTTTTTTAGTATATTAAATAAGAAAGGCCTTTATTATAATACTAAGAATTCTCGTATAAATTATTACTTTTAGCTTAAAGGTAACTTAAGTTTAGTTTATATTCTTAAAGGTAGCTTAAGTTTAATTCGTGTTTTCCTTAAAGAAAAAAGCGTTATCTTAGAATATAATAACTATATCTCTATTAAATAACTTACGTATAACTATTATTACGTTATTTCTTAAAGCTTAATTTATAGCCTTTATTATATTTTTAATGGTTTAATTTTAAAGTACTTTTATAATTATAATACCTTTAATAATAATTTTATAATACTAGTAATTAAAGATAATTAAGGGAAGAGGTTTTTAGGTTTACACTTTAGCTAAGCTAATTATAACGCTTACTTAGGTTCTCTATTAAGTAATACTATAAAGTACTTCTTATATTATAGCTATAATTATATTATAAAGCTACGCTTTTATAATTAAGATATTATTAATAATAGCTATAGCTTTAACGTAATATTATATTACTTCTTAAATAATATACTCCTTAAATAATTTTTATATACGCTTTAATAAAGCTATTAAAATAAGATTAATTAGTTTATTATAAATAACGCGTTTTTTATTATTAAGTTTATTTTAAATCGCGTTTAACTTAAGGTTATATAATACCTATTTTATAAACTATTCTTTACTTATATTTAAGTAATAGTAGCTTTATATAAGCTCCCTTTCTTTTTTATTTATTACTATTAGTATTATATTCTTTATATTACCCCTATTATAGCCTTAATATAGTATTATAATAGGGGATAATTAAGTATAAGAAATTTAAATCTTAGGTTATTTTCCGTTTTAAAGGCAATCTTAAGCTAGTATTATAATGTAAGAGTAAGAGCAAAAGTTTTTTTCTTAGGCCCTTAATAGCTAAAATAAATCTAAGATAACTTTTAATAATAAGAAATTAAAATAAAAGTTATAATAATATAATATATTTTTATACTTTAATATTAATTATAAGAATATATATATTTACGTTATATTAAGTAAAGTTAAGTACTTAATAAATAC